ATTTTCAAGTATGAGAGATAACACGAATATTTTGTCGGAAAAAGTGATGTGTCGCCACTTTTTGTAGAATGTAGCTGAAAAACATTTGTTTTTTTTTCTTGATTCCTTAATTTGCTGTTTGATAATATTTTTATTATTACCTGATCATTTAAATCAAATATTTTTTATGATACCTCATTTGTCATATATCTAAATTCAGCATGAAAGGAACTGATTTTTTGCCGCAAACTTATATGTTCTAATCCCTATATCTGTTAAAACTTAAATTAAGTGATCAAACAGAATGTATAGTATAAATCTACATCCCACAGTATCCAAACAGAATGTATAGTATAAATCTGCATCCCACAGTATCCAGACAGAATGTATAGTATAAATCTACATCCCACAGTATCCAAACAGAATGTATAGTATAAATCTGCATCCCACAGTATCCAGACAGAATGTATATTATAAATCTATATCCCACAGTATCCAAACAGAATGTATAGTATAAATCTACATCCCACAGTATCCAAACGAATGTATAGTATAAATCTACATCCCACTGTATCCAAACAGAATGTCGCCTTCCTTCCTACCCTTCACCTCTGTATCGGGTCAGATTTAAAAACAGAGAATCTCTTCCGGCACAGTTCTGTCTCACACACATATAAACATAGCACCCATGTTGAATTGCAAAACTGGTTCAATTTTACAATTTGTAATCAATTCTGCAATCCGTAAAATTCCACTGAAACAACCGGGGTTTTTATTTTAGAAGTAACAACTAAATGTTTTAAACTAACCCGATCACCTTCCTCTAAAATCAATCACTCCTTAATCACCCCAGACGACACAATCTTTTTGTAAGTTACTCAATCCTATTAACAACATGAGACAATTTTATAATAATTACTTTTTTTTAATAAAACTGTATTTTGTAGGTTTGAAATATATACATATTTGCAACATTGTGTTTCTAAAAACCTATATCAAGACATCTGTGATTTGTGTCAACAATCTTAGGTCTTGGACATTGGGTTGCAAAGATAAAGGTTTTTAAAAATCAGAGTTTGTGGTAAAGGCTCAAATCCTTTCAAACTAAAGGTTTACCATGAAACATTTTAATATATCTTTTAATGACAGAAGTTTGGGGAATTTTTTTTGGATTTTTTTTATTCTTGAAAAAATTAAACGTTTTTGAATGTTTTAAGTGTAAAGGGAGCTAGTGCGACATATGCTTTGATTAGAGTTTTCCTTTGTATAAACGCTAACAATTTCTTTTGAAGTTTTTCAAGACTTGAATTGGAGACTTATAGAGATTTTCCTGATTTACTGTGTAAAAACACAGAGCCAAATCTAAATTGAAAATTGGAAGAAATCGCCAAGGAAATCAAATTCATTTTACAGCAAAGAAAACGTCTTTTTAAATTTGCAAATATGTAACGTTAGAATTTATACGGTTGTAAAAGAATTTTGGTATAATCAAATACAATGCTTGCATGGTGGGTTTAGCAACAAATTTATATTTTTCACATAGCCTTTTACATTCATACTAGCCTTATAGGGCGCTTTGCGCCCATCTTCTAAATTAATTGTGAACATGTTCTCTTTGTGTACATCGTAAAACAAAACAAAAATAATTCGCGGATTTTCACAAAAAATTTCGTGGATTTTCAAAATTTTCAAAAATTTAATGAAGATCGAATTTTGATGGAGACAAATATTTGAAAATTTGATCATTCATAAAACTTCCCTGGGGTCCCTAGATGTCCCACAAAAAGTTTGGGCCCGATCGGTTCAGCCGTTTTGACGTTTATTGGATACAAACAGACAGACAGACAGACAGACAAACAGGCAGACAAGCCAAATTCATATATAGATTGAGGTTTAAAAATCAAAACTATGTCATTTTTTTAAAAAATCGAGAAAAACTTAACAGCTAATGGTACAAAATTCTTTTTTTGTAAATTTTAAGCTTGGAAATATGCTCTTTATGTTATAAAAGTAAAACTTCTCCGTTAATTTGACTCGCTCTTGATATTATAATCTTAAAATTAACAGACTAGCTCGAAAACCTGTTTGTTCGTTCAATTTTCTGAATAAATAAAGAAAACCTACGTTTCTACTTTAAATATTCAAATAATGATTTTTCTTCCGATTTAAAGGAACTGTAAGCGTAACTTCAAGTGGCCCTCCCTGTGAATAGGGAACTTCAAGTGGCCCTCTCTGTGAATAGGGAACTTCAAGTGGCCCTCCCTGTAAATAGGGAACTTCCCGATTTATGACGCGGTGCCATTTAATCCTGGACTTATCAAACTTCCAGAAAGTAAATATTAATATTCATTGGATATTAGACAGCTTGCCAAAAAAAGTTATCAAATATTACAAGCGTTAAGACGGATACATAAGGATCAGCTCGTCAAGATTGGAATAGTAAAGGGAGTGTTCACATAATCGCCAGTGATCCTTCATTACTACACTGTATTTCAACCGGCAAAAATCGAAATTCCTCAAAAGTATTTCTGATTTAAAAAGACAATTAAACTTCCTTGAGGGATGATTTATTTTTCTATTCAGAAGTTCAACGTATGTTTACATACAGTTCACACTATGTACTGTCAAATTACCTTAAACCTGAACTTTCATTTCTTTTAATAGTATTTAATGCAGTATACGGTTTACTGCATGTAAACAAACGCTGCACTTTCTTAAAGAGAAATAAACTGCTTTTTTAAATCGGAAGTAATGTTTTAGGTGTAAACACTAAATACAGTGTGAGTTATATGCTCAATTCACATCAGTACCCGTAAACACATAGTTTGGTCAAGTATGACCGTGAATTAGATATCCAAGCTTTTTTTAATTTATTATTTCGTGGTTTCTTTAAAAAAGTGACTTGTGCATTTCTTACTTCAGAAACGATGGAGAAATTAATAGAATTAAACACTTTTCAAGCAAAATAAACGACTTATCTTCCAAAGTATTGATTAGATGAAGGTTTCAAGTGTACCCTCTTTAATCGGACATGTCCCTGTTTAAATGTATTTTTTAACACATGTATGCATCATAAAAGATTTTCCCTATACTCTGTTGTCTAAAATAACAAATAAAAATAATTATTCCTGCTATAGGGCTGGGCAAAGCTCCGTTAACGGAACCGAGGTTTTCGAAAATTAACGAAAGTGTCCTTTAACGAACGGCAAAAACAGTTAATTTTTAAAAAGTTAACGGAACAGATTACCCATTTTAGAAAAAAAATTAACAGCTAAAAACAAAAACGGTGCAAATTTTTGTTTTTTTAATGGTTGATTTAGTTAATTTTTTTTTAGCCTAAAATTGCATTTAACTTGTAAAGAAAAAAAATCGTTTTTTGATGGTTTTAAATGCGCCGTTAATGGTTTATTTAACTGTTAACAACAAATTTTCCGGCGCTTTGCCTCGTTGACGATTTCATAAAACATTAATATTGTAAAGGGCCAATTTGAAAAAAAGGTTAACGTTAACAAACAGACGCACATTCATAGCTTAAAATTAATGGCACTTTAATTTTTTAAGGGTTGGAGCTAACCATAAACGGAATGACTAGAAAAAGTTGGAAAGTGCCCAGCCCTACCTGTTATTCATAGGAAATTGAAAAACAAGAAAACAAGACAGAGGAAATCAAGTGTATTAGGTTTAAAAAATAAGAAAAAGAAAGCTTGAAGGAACATTGTTTTCCAGTAGGGTTTGATAAATTTTTATTTAACCTTTTATGAAGTGTTCAATTTCGCATTTTATACGAATTTGAATTTAATTTGCAGTACTTGGACCATTAAATGTCACAGAATGTTGTGTCCTTTTTTACATAATGCTAAAGGAATTAAGTTTTTACCACAAATTCTGATTTTCTAATACTTATAACTTTTCAAACCGTTTTCCCAGACCTTTGATATTTCAAACTATTAATTCTGGTAGATTAAATAGTCTATCATAATGTTTCACGTCTATCATGACGATCCTCAGTCGTTACAATTCTTTGAACAATATATATATATATATAATTTATAACAAACCAACGCAACAACCGACAAAACAGCGAAACTGAAAACTCTCTTCATCATATGAAAATACTAATCTTTGCAATTAAAAGCTAGTTGGATTTTTGATATTTTTATCAAACAAGTTTAAATATCAAAGGTCTATACCATTAGGTTGCAAAGATATAAAAATTGGAAGGTCAATGTTTGAGGCAATTGTTTTTATGTACAGTGAGAACCAGAAAACTGTGGACGACTTTAAAACACAAGTTATGACTTTAAATTATCTAATAGAGATGAGAAAAATAAAATGTGCAGTGTATACATACCTATTTCACTTCATAAGGGATTTTTTAAGTTACTATCAAAACTACTTTCTTTGGAACAACATCAAAGTGTCCAAGGTACTGCTTCCTATTTGACTGTTTTCTGGTTCTCACTTTAGTGTGAACTCAGCCAAGGGTTCCCCCATGTGTATATAGTATGGTATAAGTTCATTGCTCCCAGTTGGAGAAATAATGCTTCACAAATGTTATAGTACATACGACAGGACTAGCCGGTGCAATAAGAATGACGCGGTCAGGCTTTATGCTTCATATAGGTTGAATTTACTTTTACTAAAGGGGCAGTCAGTCCTGTTTAAAGAGCGGTTTAAAGGGAAGCTATGGTAAGATCGATGATGGAGAAAGGAGTAAAACGACATTTATCTAGCTGGCAAAGAAAGCAGTATCATCGGCCATCTTATCCCCAGGATCCCCCAAGAGTCAGCACAAAGCATCTGATCAGAAGAGTCGAATGGAAATATATTCGCCCCAGGCGAATGTTGTGTGTATTTGGATCAACTTTAGTTGGTCCAACACTAATCGTTTGCATCATTATAATGTAAATTTAGTTTGTGTGCAGAGCAACCGTGCTTGGTTATTCCACTCAAACTTGGCTTTTTACTACTGAATTATTTTCAAGTCTATATATTATAGTGTATAGTACTATATTATTTACCAGTTTCCTAGAGAACCAGACGATACAGAATATATTTCCAACTACGCCCAGGAGCCCCACAGCCACCTAAACAATTAATTCACATTAGTTGCATGACCAGTACAAAGAAATTCTATTTGAAAATCAGATTTTTAAAAGTGTCAACCAATTTGGTCATACGGCTAAAGCTAACATAAATATGATATATTCTATGATAAAAAAGATCTTCGCTGTGGCTAGCCAAACGGCTGGACCAAATTGGTTGAAATATTTTGAGGACCCATTTCAGAACGTTTTTAGCCTATGTTACCCCCCGTAACATAATTCTGAATTTAAAAAAAAGTTTTTTTTAAATTCCACGGGCACAGCTTGTAAAATATTTATATTTTAAAATATACAACTATATATTTATATGTATTTGAGCGAAGAGAACAATTAAACTTGTAGATAATTATTTCCAATTAAACACCCATGTCCGCGTTAGACTGAAATCTTATAATTTTGAACCAATGCTTCATTTTCTTGGAGAGCGTTTTAGTTTTTTTTTAATTTCCTCTAACCAGAGCTGGGAACTTTAGAATGGTGGATATCAGGATTATTGCTTAATCCTCTGGTTTTGCTAATCTCGAGACTAACATAATCTCGAGATTATGTTAGTCTTGAGATTAAATATTTAGATTAACAAATTGGATTCTAAGAATGCCAGATTTGTTGGTTTTCTTGACTGAAAGGGCCCTCACTTAATTGCTCACCCATTAATTTATTAATACATTAGTTAAAATTGGTTACAAAAGAATCTCAAACGTATTATTAAATATTTTTCTTCACCGATTAATTTACAAAATGGCCGACAACAAATTCTTGATTTGATAGAAATTGCGGATTTCTCTCATGGAATAGAATTTATTTACAAGGCTGTCATTGGTCTATACAATTTACGAAATATAATCCTGCACTCTCATTGGAGAAAACAATGTACAGATATCCAAAGAGAGAGAAAAAGAGTGGATTAAGGACTAAAAATTAAAAGTTTCCACAGTGGATATTCGGATTAAGTAGTTGGGATTAAAGGTCATTCATTCAAAAGTTCCCAGCTCAGAGCTCATAAAATCGTAGCATTAATTTTTCATTCTCTTTTATACTTGTGGAGAATGCACCAATTGTTTTCAAAATTTATGAAATCCACGAAATTGAGAAAAAATCGGAGTTTTCCAGAAAAATTCCTTTCAAGAAAAAATCGAGCATTCCGGCCTCGGCCTCGAGAACATCTTTGAAGTGCCTATAATCCCAATTTTAAGTGGCCTGATCGTTTCATAACGCACCCTGTAAAGCTATAGTCTGTTTAATTATTTAAAATTGTGATTTCTCTACAAAAGTAACTTGCGCTTTCTACTGCTGGAACAGTATGAATAAATTATCAGAATTAAACACTTTTCAAGCTGTAAAAACTACATTTTTGCCGCCCAGAAAAGAGTTCTAAGAATCATCAATCAAGGGTACCGTTGTGAATTTTAAAATCGAGACCTTTAAGATAGTAAAAATATTTTATGTTCTGAAAAGAATAATATTAGTGTACAGTGAGAACTAGAAAACAGTGAAATAGGAAGAAGATATTGAAGCAATGTTGACGTGAATTTAGAAGATATTGAAGCAATGTTGACGTGAATTTAGAAGATATTGAAGCAATGTTGACGTGAATTTAGAAGATATTGAAGCAATGTTAACGTGAATTTGATGTTACAACCCAAATAAAGAAATTGAGTCTATGTCACAAACTCAAATTTTATAATTCCTTTCTTTTTGCAATCTATAATTGTGTAAACCTTAGATATTTCAAACTTAGCCTATATAATCTAACAGAATTCATAGTTTGAAATATCTAAGGTCTACAACATTAGGTTCCAAAGATATAGGGATTAAAAAATCAGGATTTGTGGCAAAAACTCAATTACTTTACAAGTAGCTTAAAAATTAATTAATAGTTTAAATCTGTCCTTTTACACTGCACAATTGCTATTGTTTATGTTCATTGGACTCTTTAAAATCAAAACTTGAGTTTAAAGGTCGTCTTCTCGTTTCAGAGTTTTCTGGTTCTCTCTGTAATAACCGATTCAGGTGTTCCTATATTTTGTTTCGTTGATCAAAAGTTTATTAAATTAAAGGAGATTAGAAATAGATTAATCCCATTATTGAGACCCTATACCAATACATAAATGCAATATACAGAATGTATCCCTTACATATAAAATTGTAATCTCTGTTTGTCTGTTTGCATGCACGTCTGATCATAACTAATAAACAAGGTAGCGATTTGCCTCAAATTTTGAATGGGGAACTCGGGAGAACCACAAAAGTTTCCATTTTTACAAGGAAAAATAGTTAAAGTCATAAATTACGACTAAGCGCGGATAAACGGCAGGAGAAATTATGAATACCCTGGGCAACGCTGGGTTCTCAAGCTAGCCCTTTATAATACGTTCAAAAAAAAAGTTTATATTCACACACATGGATATTAATACATATTTCATATATTAATGGTGTAGTTTAAATTTGCTTTGCTTAAATTTAATATTGATATTGAATATTAATTGTGCTTCTACATATTCATTCTCATAAATTCTAATCTCAAAAAGCGATTCTTTCACAAAATATCATTTCGTTTTTTTGATTTATCTACGTCGTTTACGAAACGAAAGGTACGTTTTTCAGAAAAATGACACAATCCATTCCTAAATTCGATTCGTGAAATTTCAACATTTTTCTAAAAAATTGCGTTGTAAATGTGAAAAAAAAATTAATTCCAAATTATAATTTTTAATCGCTAAATTTGCAAGGTAAAAAGAAACTCAAGCTCTCAGTCCTAACTGCAGAATGTACCTCAGGGCTCAATTTTGATCTTGACCAACACATTCTTTATTATTCCCTGAGGAACTGTTATTCTTCAGCAAGAAAGTATATAGAGTACAGAATATATTACAGAGGAATAGGAAGACGACAAATAAGCAATCTAAAGTGTGAATTTTCATGTCAATTAGACTCTAGTCTTACAGTCGTCTTCCAAGTCCATGCTATTAATGATCTCACTGTATAGTAGAGAAAACAAGAGCTATAAAGCGTATCAAAAGGCATACACAGAAAAAATTGTTTTAAAACTTAATGCAAAGAATATGCTGGAAATTAAAAAACATAAAGAAAAAAGAAGCGCGGTTATATAAATATTTTTATTGTTTTATAAGGACATTATGTTTAATTACTATCCCCCTGTTTATTAACGAAGTATGGTAATGAAAGTTGTAACTTGTGTGTTATATATATATATATATATATATTATGCTTTCTTAAAATTAGTCTAGAACATGTTCTGTTGTTTATTAAAAATATATATAGAAATATATATAAATCCTGTTTTGGTGTCTGTCTGTTTGTTTGTTTGAGTCCAATAAACGTTAAACCAGCCGACCCGACCAGGCCCAACATTTTTAAGGCAACTCACGACACCCCAGGGAAGGTTTTTGGATGCTCATAACTACAAAAAAAAATTCTCCAAAATATTTCAATTTTTGTAAAATTTGAAATCCACGAAAAAATATTACTAATAATATATATATATATATATATATATATATATATATAAGATGGTTAAAGGGACATATTGTTTATTTGACAAGTTGCATCTCCATGCCTGATTCACAACTGTACCCATTAAACCTTTGTCTAAATCATTCCTGTTTTTCTATCGATTTTAATGAAGTTTCTCTCTGATTTATGCAGCTGACACAATAAAGGAAATTGAGAGAATTTTTATCTTTCCACGACGAAAAAAAAATCTTTTTAATTGTTCTTCCAACAAAGATCTAAAAGTTATTGTTGTAAATCTGGCATGTACGCAACTAATGGAGCTTTATTTTTAATCTTTGTGACAGAAACAACCTCATGCATGAGAACTAGGAACAAGTTGAATTTGCTCCGCAATACCAAGTTAAACCTTTTTGCTTTTAAGAAACACTGTGCTATATCTAACATACAAATATATATGAGCAAATAGCTTTATTATAGATTTACTAAGCCAAAGAAAGCCTCCTTTGAAGATTTGGTAGTGAAATGAAGAATTGATTTGCTGGAGAGAAAAAAAATAGTTTAATCTCATACTATTGATTTAAAAGTTTCCATCACAAATAAAAAATGTATATTTTCAATACTAGGGTATAAATAATTAACGGACATGAAAAAATAATGTACATCATTTATTTATTATGCAGCTGATATCGGAACTATTGTGTGGAGAATATCGTTAATCTTTAACGCTTGATCTCTAAACCCAATGTGGGCCCTTGATCCCTTCTACGGGGCAGTAGAGAATATCTAAGAGGAATTAAATCATAAGATGGAGCTGAATGCTTGTTTCTGAGATTTACAACACATAGTTTTAATTTCTGGTCAATTAATTTCTAATCTATTATTTAGAGTTGACATTAACAGAACTTTCTAGGGCTGGGCACGTTCCAACCTTTTCTAACCGTTTCGTTAACAGTTAGTTCCAACGGTTAAAAAATATAATTTCAGTTAACCGTTGATTTTAAAGGTAAGAACGGAACGTTCGTTCTGTTAACAGCATTTTCTGGGTTTTTTAACAACCGTTAGTTAACGATATCAATTTTTTTAACGGCGTTAACGGGAAATTTCAACAATTGTTAACGACTCTAGCCGTTAATGGTATTGTTAAGGCAAAATTTCATTAACAGTTTAAAAATCGTTAACGACACAGATGTTAACAGTATATTAAAGTATTAATCGTTTAAGGGTATATTAAAGTATTAACGGCTATAACGATTTTTCCCATTCGTTAACGGACTCTTCCGTTGATTTTCGAAAACCCCGTTTCGTCAACGGAACTTGGCCCGGTCCTGGTTATGAGAAATGCCAACGTTAGTGAAAAGGAAAGGTGCAAAAAATGTGCAATGAATTATTTCTTTTTAAAAGCTTTATAGCGTAAAATAGTTAAATTAAAAACCATTTAATTTTTTTTAAAACAAATTCGCATTTCTAACCATAATCCATGAATTATATAAATATCAAATCTCTTTTAAAGAAAACCATCCAATAAGCGTTATCAAAAAAACAGAAAATTCCAGGGAAAAAAATATTTAAAATTTGAGTAAACTTAATAACCTTTTTTAATTTAAAATGTTAATCTAAAAATCTAATATGACCTTTATATTTACTAATCATTTTTTAATAAACTAAGACCAATATTTAATACGAATTTATCCAGAATTAAGATTCAAAATGAAAAGTTGAAATTAATAAACTGTTTTATAAAATTTAAGAATTTGAAGAGATAATATAATTTTTTTCTTCAAAAAGCACAAACATTCCAAGTCTTTGTTTGGGAAAAAAGTCTTTTATAAAAAAATACCTCTCCTTGAAAAATGACGAACAATGTTTTTCTGGTTCATGTCAGAAATGTTGTTTTTGTTCAGAAATTAATGAGAAATCTCATTAAAAATCGATATTCTGTGATAGCTTAATATTCTTGTATTTATCAATATTAGAATATATGAAGAAGATACAGTGGTAGGCGATTATATCAATATATTGAACACGGATTTTTTATTTGAGTTAGGATGTTTTACAAGCTTTTTTTCGAATTACAAGTTTACAAGTAAGCAAACAGATTTTTTTATCGGTAGCTTCTCGTTTTTTCCGTGTTTATGTGTATATATGCTGTTTAAGAGCTTGATGTAAATCAAAATTTGAATAGAAAGTCGTCTTAATTTTTTTAATATATGCGACGATGTAATTAGAAACAGTGAATTTTAAAACAGATGTATTTTTACAAACTAGAATTAACAATCTATATATAAATTTGGCTTGTCTGTCTGTTTGTTTGTATCCAATAAACGTCAAAACGGCTGAACCGATCGGGCCCAATTTTATTGTGGGACATCTAGGGACCCCAGGGAAGGTTTATGAATGATTGAAATTTCAAATATTTGTCTCCATCAAAATTCGATCGTCATTAAACTTTTTAAAATTTTGAAAATCCGCGAAATTTTTTGTGAAAATCCGCGAATTATTTTTGTTTTGTTTTACGATGTACACAAAGAGAACATGTTCACAATTAATTTAGAAGATGGGCGCGAAGCGCCCTCTAAGGCTAGTTAGAATAAAAATGCTAGAATAATATAAAAAAGCTAGCCTTATAGGGCGCTTTGCGCCCATCTTCGAAATTAATTGTTCTCTTTGTGTACATCGTAAAACAAAACAAAAATAATTAACGGATTTTCACAAAAAATTTCGTGGATGTTCAAAATTTTCAAAAGTTTTATGAAGATAGAATTTTGATGGAGACAAATATTTGAAATTTTGTTCATTCATAAACCTTCCCTGCGGTGACGTGATGTCCCACAAAAAATTTGGGCCCGATCGGTTCAGCCGTTTATTGGATACAAACAAACAAACAAACAAACAAACAGACAGACAAGCCAAATTTATATATAAAAAATAATGAGTTAAAGTCATTTCTAAAACGGCGAAATGTGCGTAGCTTATCCTTTTATCCCATTCCATTTTTGCTAAATTTAGTTTTTTTTACAATGTACTTTTTTTGTAGTCAATTACTATAGGCAATGAAAATTTGAATTTCGAAAATGTTTTCAATTTTCATTTGTTTGACTGTTGATTATCCTTCCTTGTGGAATGACGGTTAGGTCCTAAAGATTTAGGCCCGATCGGTCAGCTGCTTTCACGTCAATTGACAAACAATCAAACAAACGCGCGAAAACCAATTGTACTAATATAAATATATCACTGTGATCTTGCCTGGCTACTTTTGTTGCAAAAACGTGCTGGATCTACTCTAAATTGGGTAGCCAGACTGGACGGTACGACCGAATGCATATACGTTACGTGTTGTACCGGCACGATGGTGTAATATATATATATATATTAGGCCAGTCCTGCCTGGAAACTAAAATTTCTCCATTAAAACCAATATAATAAACTAGGATTTAAAACATTCCCGTGGCTTTCCCGAGTTCCCTAATCAAAATTTGAGGCAAATCGGTTTTTGAATTATCATCGGACAGATAAAAAACAGACAAACAAACATCAGAGATTACTTACTAATAAATAGATTATCAAGTACAATAGATGGCCACTCAACAATAGACTAATTATGAATGACGTCACAAGTGTCAAATGCATTAAAAAAGACAACAATTTTTCAAATTAGTTTATATGACTTCCAAGATTCAGCTTAGATAAATATTGTCTTTGTAGGAATACTTACTCGATAATGTATTTACTACTAATAAAGTTTAACTGGCAGTTTTTCAATGAAGTTACGTGCAGTTGCAGCGTTGAATAGCAAGAAGAGAGAGTTTTTAAATATATTTTAGGATTAGGTTAGGTTAAGACACTTTCTGGGCCGAGCACTGCGGCAAGGACAGGCTAGGGGGCCGAGCGCCGCGGATAGAACAGTCTCTTTCTCCGTCTTGTGATTCAACGCGGGTTTCTGCATGTTTAACTCACCAGTAGGATTCCATCCACCAAGAAGTGGAATGTGAAGTATTCCTCTAAACTCATTTTATCTCTTAAATATTGTAAGATTAAAAAGATAAAAATATATATTTTATTTTATTTTTAGAGTATTTTTACTCACAATTTCAGGATATTTGGTATAAAAAGTGTCTTATTTGATACGAGGAAGACGAGTAATATTTTTTACCCGTAAAGTTTTCTTTTTTATTTCGTGGATTTTCTTTTCTAAAAATCTCACTTAAATTGAATAAATGTACATATCCAACCGTCTTGTGTTATCATTCAAGAAAAAAAGTAGAAATTACAAAGAAGAAAGTTTCATAAATATATTATTTCTGTTTTGTTACTCCTAAAAAGAAAATATTTTGCTTAACAACTTGAAACAAAAGGTCAACTCATCCAGGTCACAGAAAAATCACCGGAGGGCCAAAAATGGTCGTTTCCGGACAGCACCAATACTGAACTGTTTTAGCCACCAACTCAATTTTTCCACTACCTATTTCTTTGCAACCTTATGGTGTAAACCTTTGATATTTCAAACTAAGACTATTTGGTCTAATAGAATACATAATAGTTTGATATATTAGAGGTCTGCTACATCGCGTTGTAAAAACAGAGTTTGTGGCAAAAACTTAATTTTATAGAAAACACTGAAATTTTATTTTTATTTTCTGGTTCTCAGCTTACTTTCTTCAGCGTGTTGGGACAATTAATGACCTAACACTTTAATAGAAACCTATTAAATCACTTAATAAGTTAAATGGGTATGTTTACACTGCCCAATTTCTGTGTCTCTCATTGATCATTGGACTATTTAAAGTCATAATTTGAGTCTGAGAGTCGTCTTGCTTTTCCAGAGTTGGATGTTCTCACTGTATAGCTTAATGTTTTATTAAAATTTCCCAAATTTTAACATTTAACAATATTTTATTCACCAAATCAGAAGAAAACAATAAATTTTCAGCCAACAGGAGAGTATCAGTGATGTGCATGCTGCCACTTGTTTACCTTAAATTCTATCATAGTGTTATTATGCTAAATTCAGTCGGCTGTATTTTAGAAATGTGGATTAGTTCTATAAGCCTGGAGTTTGAAGGGTTGAATCGAATGTGTTTACTTTGCCATTGGAAAATCTTTCACATAGGTTCAACAGTTGTATATAATGAACCGGAACAAAGATGTTTCCGTAATCCTCACCCACAGTGATCCAATGCAAACTCAAACTCAAAATCGATGAGAATTTTAAAAATTTCTTCATAAAAACTAAAGCTAAAAACAAGTACTGTAAAAATTCTAAAATATACAGGTCTAGTAAAAATAAATTTGTGATCTCTTAAATCAAAAGTCAAGACATTGCGACACTTTAAAGTCGACTATAAAGAGTTGAAAATTGATGCAACTTCTCATATCAATCTGGATCTATGTGGATCGTAACTAAACTGCGACGAGTAAACTATCTAGAGTAAAGTCGATCCAGAAAGCCAACAAATCTCATCGTACACGTTTTCCGTGTGAAGGTCATGCTTCATGCTTCTTTTGAACGAACTTAATAATTGAAGAATATCTGTCAATTATTATCCAAAAAGATAATACGGAATATTACGCACATTGCATTTTTATCCAGTCTCAGAAAGTCTTTATAGCAAATATATGACGTAGTTTGAAAGTAAATATTATCTCTTTGATCAAGGCTTAAACTAATCTCATATTTTTCAGGTAAAAACTATTATACCTTTTGTTTGCGTTAATTCAAGAAAAAATATGTTTAGATTTAGAATTTAACATGTCATTGATTTTCGTTATCATTTTTTGACATCATTAATGAGAAGTTTAATTTCATTGAAAAAATTGCTTTTCATATATGAGCTTGGAAAATTCGATAAGTTATAACTAAAATGTTCCAAAAAATAGTTTTCCTGAAACGTTTTATTTTTTTCCAAAAGTAAAAAAAAGGCCAAGACAATTAAAAAGAAACGGAAACACGTTCATAATGGACTCAACCACAGACTACACAGACTGCTCTATACACTCTACCTGGATAGGCTGAGCAGGCCTGTAGTGTCCCGGCACGCCATGCTACAGTTCCATGTAATGTTTTTTGACTGACATCTTATGGCCACCTGTTGCATTCAGGGGTTAAGTTTTACAACTTTTAAAGAAATGCTCCAATTTTAAACATAAAACATAACGTTTATGAATATTGTCTATTTTTTAATATTTTGGATTTCCTATTCAAAGGATCCTTAAATATCCCTGAATGTCTCCTGATTGGTCGTGTACATTTCTTGTACACAACAGAAAATGCTGTGGAAAATATTGCATATTATAGGTGTTAATCGATCTCTGTAACTCTCTTATTTCTGAACTCAACCTTAAAAATCTGGTTTTTAAAGGGAGTGTTCGCGAAAAATGAAAGGGGGTAAAGCTTACGGCGATAAATAATCGCTTTTGATCGCTACTAATCTTTCTTCTATCTGTTGCGTCTATAATGAGGAAATTGTTAAAAACGTCTCATACCGAAGAACGTAGAATCCTTACAAATTCAGAAAGTTGCAACATACGACTCGGATCGTAACAAAATCAATTTAATACCAAACAAAGTATTCAGATATTACTATAGTCATCGATTATTTTTCAACGCTTTCGTATATAGTTAATAATTCATAATATTTTTTACTTTCTATGATCTGAGAGTGACTTTTGAAAACATTCATGAAAACAAGTTGTAAGCGAAATATTAACTTTAAAAAACACAAAATAAAAAATAGAATGTAATATCAACTGTATACAAATGCGTCGAAAAATAATCGATGACTATAGGATTTAATATCTAAATTATTTGTTTGATACTAATTTGATTTTTTTTACAATGACCGCATTAATTTGCATGACCGCTTCGTTCTTCGGTATGAGACGTATTTAACAATTTTCTCATTATAGACGCAACAGATAGAAGAAAGATTAGTAGCAATCAAAAGCGATTATTTATCGCCGTTAGCCTATACCCCCTTTCATTTTTCGCGAACACTCCCTTTAAGTAGCCTGTATTGTACCATCTATAACATATTCGTTCTTTTGTGTGTTTTGGAATTCTCAGATTGGCTTTGCAACAGTGCAGATAGATCTCTTTACAATTTCGCTTTTGATGTCTTAAATATAGAGTTTGTTTTCTTAGGAAAAATAAAAACACAGCAAGAGAACAGAATAACAGGGACCTTCAAGGACTGTGGATTTATTTTTGATCTTCCGGTAATCCGGTTTCAGAAACCATTGGTTTTATAACAATACCCTGTCTTAAGTTTTTCAAGTTCTTTTTTTAAAATGATCATAATAAGTTTTAAACGTGAATCCCGATTGTTAATTTTGTCTTAATAATGATACCCTGTTTTAAGTTTTGGGCTCAGAGATCATACTTTATTATACTTATATTTACTATACTGCGTTTAATTTGTAAATATTTATATGAAATGCATGTTTGAACTCCTCCTTTCAGACACAAGGTGTTGAAGACAAAAATCCTTCAGAGGTAAACTCTTTATCTGTTTTGTATACATATCTCTACTCTTTGACTCAAAGGAACCATGAAAGTAAGAAAGAAATCTAAATAAATTCTGTACAGTCATCACTAAAGCCTCCTCCTTTGTGACTAGGCAAAGTTTCTTCAACGTGCTCAAGTTTTATGAAAATAAAAATCAATATTTAGATAATCTAATCATTATGGAAAAGAATTGACGTTTTCTGTTCATTCAATGTCATTAAATTGTAATTTTTTTTTGATAAATGGTAGTTGCGTTTTCAAGTATTTGTATTAGGTATAGATTGAGGTACATATGTGTCTGATTAATAATGTTTGATTGATGAATAAATGTTGATATGGACCATGAATATGCATGGGTGTGCCTAATGTATACATAAAAGTGCTAAAAGGGTGAAATATAAAAGTAGTAAAATAGTCTACTTAAAACTCGAGTTTAAGTCTACTTAAAAAGACGACTTGAATTCGACTTAAAAAGTTGACATAAACTAGACGTTAAAAGTCAACTTGAACTCGATTTTGTCGACTTGAAAAAACTCAACCAAAAGTGGTATAAAATCTCAGCTTAAAGTGGAGTTCTGGAACGACTATTTACGACTTAAAATCGACTTTAAAAATTCGCTTAAACTCGACTTAAACTGGGCTTAAAAGTTGAGTTTTTACCAAATTGAAAATTCTCCTTCATAAGTTGTATAAAAACCCGTCCAAAAGTGGTATAAAATCTCAGCTTAAAGTTGAGTTTTAGTACAACTATTTACGAGTTAAAGTCGACTTTAAAAGTCAATTTAAAGTCGATTTCTTAGAGTTAAAAGTCGAATTTCAGTCAAGTTTTGTTCGTCATGGGAACTAATCCTCTCATTCAACCGGCCCCCTACCCCCCTTTCCCACTAACCCTTCATTCTTTCCCCTTCCCCCCACTATCCACTCATTCCTCCGACCCCCCCCCCTCTAACTCACTTGCCCCTCCTTCTGACTAAAATCCTGAAATGTGCCCTAAAAATAGACAGTAAATATTTGGGAATATTCCTTTACCCTTATTTTCTGAATAAACAAACAATTATCTTCTTATTACTGTACATACATTGTACACTGTACATAAAAACTGCACAAACAGTGAAACTTTAGATAAATTAATTATAATGCAAGAATAACACTGTAAGACTCAATTAAAAAGTTAACCCAAGCTCGGCCGAGCCCGAAACTTAAGAGAATGATTATTAAACCTAGTTTTAAAACCTATTTTTTGTAAAATAAGTTCATGGCTAGTTTTATTTTCCCACTTTTATTTTCAATTTCTAAAATATTAATTTTAAAAAAAAGTTTTGTTCACAGGGGCGTATTCGGGAATTTGTCCAAGGGGGGCGTACCTTTTTTTTCTACGGGGGGAGGGGGGGTCAGCACCCGTAGTCCTTGAACATGTCTATGTTTGTTCAACACATGTCTATTATAACTCTTTTAGTAAATGTCCAGCTCTGAAATACTGAAACAAAACTTGATACTTTATTCTTGTTAAACTT